ATTTATTATAACCAGTCAATTAAAATTGCAACCTAATTAAAAATCCACAGAATATCAATTTAAATCCAGAATTAAATCACAAGTGGGATATTAAAACATTTAACAAGTTAAAAAATCATCCAAATGAAAATTCATTCATCCAATTACAATAAAAAAATAAGAGATAAACTTAATAGTCATCGAAACAATCGCCCTGATAAGCACGAATTCATTTCCATGTTGATTTTTTTTTATTATTATTGAAATATTCACAAGTTATGCTGATGCATTAATGGCATTTTTTTCTTCATTTTCACACAAGCTGTTATGCACAACATACCACTCATGTAGATACAGCCAATTTGCGTTTCATTGTCATTTAATTATTCAGCATATGATGATGGAACCTCATGCACATCTGAATATAGCTTTATAATTTAATTTAATAAACTTTGAAACTATTTGTCGGGCATGTGCAACATTTTTGCAAACTTTGCATCTTTTCTGTGCTGCAAAAAAAATGATTTAATTATCTTGGCAATAATAGCTACGCAAAAAGGTTGAACAATGGAGAAAATTAATTTATATAAATAAAATTTAATTTATACCTTATATAAAAAATGAGTTGTGCTGCACATTGGAGTCAATTGCATTAAAGCAAGGCTATTAATCCTTTGCATTCTTGAAGTGATAATAAATTTTTATAAGAATTTAATTAAAAATTATATAAAAATAATTTTATTCACTCTCTCATAATAAGCTATAGACATTTTTGAGAATGCAATGTCTTTTGAACCTTGACTTGAAACCTTAAAGTTGAAGATTACGTTAAATTATGTCATTTTTAGTCTTGGGTTATTCACATTTGTATTTGTTGATGTGACATCTATCGCGATTTTACATTCAAGCCTTCTTTTGTCTTTCCGCTCTAAGCCACGCCCACTTTCATACAAATTTTCAAAATGGCGATAAACGACTTTTCTATGGACTAGGGTTTCTAAAAAACGGCATTTTCGAAAACGGCCGTTTTCCGTTTTTTATTTTCAATAACGGCCGTTAACGGACCGTTTTAAGTTTTTTAAATAACCAAATATAAATGAAATATTCCTCAAAAGATAAAGAATTGCTGTGCTATATGGGCAATTCCACATTTTGTTGAGCGTTGGTATATTACACAATGTTGAATTATGAATATGAAAGCAGAAATTTACCACTTTAAAGACGTCTAGACAACTATTAATGTTGTCTTTATTGTCAACCGTTCTTTCTATCCTCTTCTGCATACTTAAATTGACTTGAAAGACACTCAATAGACAGAAAAATGAATAATTTTAATGCAATTAATGTAATATACCAACGCTTAAGCCAAATCCGTGAGGAAATAATTTTTAAAAAACCAATTTTTAGTTCAATTAACAATAATTTCTTTGATTAGAACCTTGTTTTTAAAAGTTTAATAGTCAATGAAGATCTTTTTTTTAAAAAGTGTAAGCTTAATTAAAGTTTATTTTTGAAGCAATCAAATTTTTAAAGAACATGGATCAAAAATTTATTTTTTTCGAAATTCAACTCATCCGTGGAATTGCCCATATAGATAATATGTAGATTCCTATTTATATTTATTATAAAAGTAAGAGATAGTGATGCATCAGCCAGCCTTGAACGAATCTTTGTGCAAAATTATTGCAGATTGAAAATATTCTGCTCTACATCTGTAGATATCGGCTTAATACACAACAAAGCATCATAAAGTTTTTGAAGATTTTCCGATCGATTTCCTGTATTTTTCATAAAAATTGATAAAAGTCAAATATGAAAAACCCGTTTTTCAAAAATTTTTTTTAAAAATTACATTATATGAACTATGAGAAAACGGAAAAACGGAATGAAAAACGGTCGTTTTCCGTTTTTAATTTTTGTACCGTTAACGGCCGTTTTCCGTTTTTCGTTAACGGCTTCAGAAACCCTATATGGACCTTCCATGGACCAAGGTTTCATATAAACCCAAATGATCCAAATAAACAACTAAATTGCACAGTGGTTTAAAATGCTGCCCGTAATTTATTACGAGATATCATACATTTGAAGATAATTTCACAACTTCCTCAAAATCTGTATCACAACTTCAAATTAATCAGTCAGTTGATGTAGAAAATTCATCTTTTCATAATTGCCTGACTAAATGTCTTTAAACTCAAACAGAACACATTGAGGGACGGCAACATCAAAAGCAGCTTATAAGCTACGAAAAAGATACTTTGTCTCATATTTCATTCTCAGATGCTGCTCGAAAATTTCTGTTTTTCTTCTATTTCTTTTTCATTTAATTTTTTTGTTTCGATGGACATTAAAGAACACAAAGAAAGTTAAAGACAAAGATGGGTTATTAGTCTGTAGACAAATTCTTATTGGATGGATGTTTTTTCTTGATGAGTTTTTAAAGCTTTTGAGGATGTTTTAAGAGATTTTGAAAAAGATGCTTTGATGTGGTCAAGTTTAAGTTTCAATATTAGGTTTTTAAAATGTTTGAACTACTAGGCGAGCTAGCCATGCGATCTTAACATAATTAATGGATTTTACAGATCAAAGCAATCGTAGGAGACTTTGCAGCAAGCTTATAGCGCATTACTGATTATTCTTCATCTTCATACTTACTTTGTAAGCCCTACAGATCGGTTGTAATCTTGTTTCTCTTAAATTAATGCTAAAATGCAAGAAAAATAACATTTTGAAGTTGGCATGAACCAAATTTGGCACTAAGTTAGCTCCAAGTCTACTCAGTTCTTTTTTATTCACCTTTTCCGCGCAATATTCCTTATCTTTTAATGACTTACTCATTGCTGCCTAATAGATATGAAATTAAATGTTCAATTTGCTTCCAAAAGTCTCTTCTTCACTTCCAATTCACGGAAGTTTAATAAACATCATACAAAATTGAGTGTCATATTACCTATGGCATGTGTGCCATGCCTGATAATTTAATGGGACACAAAATGTTTGTAGATAAACAAATTGTGAATATGCTGTACATATGTCGGTATTATTGATTATCAATATGTTAATGGCTTTAAGCATTGATAAAAATTCAATTTGATAGCAAATTTATAGAATTTAATTAATTGCAAATAAAGTCCCTAGCAGAAATTTACTAGCAATTTCCTAGGAATTTACTGGATAACTTTCCATTTGCTACTTGTTATTTACTAGTCAAAATCCAAGTTCAAATCATCGCCAAAGACCCGCATTTTCACTTGCTAATTGACTAGTCAATTCGCTTACAATAATTTACTAGCAAATTTTCAAAAAATATAAATGAATATAATCGTTGATTTCCACGTGTTCTTTTGATTTTTCTTATTTGTGTAAATTATTATAAAAGTATTAGTGTGCACTTAGTTAAGTTAAATAATTAAAGTACACTAACACTATGAAAAAAAAATAAAAGACTTAATTTAATTAAGTCAAAAACTGATGAACGCCTATGAGGAAGATACATAATTAATTGAAAGTCACATACAAATTTGTATCGACCTTATAAAGGTGATTTCTGCGCGCTCTTGTGAAGTATATGGCAAATGCCAAATTTAGAACAAAATTTTTTAAGACGCAAAAAATTCTTTTCATGACGCAAAAAATTCTTTTCATGACGCAAAAAATTCTTTTCATGACGCAAATTTTTTTTTATGACGCAAAAATTCTTTTCATGACGCAAAAAATTCTTTTCATGACGCAAAAAATTCTTTTCATGACGTAAAAAATTCTTTTCATGACGCAAAAAATTCTTTTCATGACGCAAATTTTTTTTATGACGCAAAAATTCTTTTTATGACGCAAAAAATTCTTTTTATGACGCAAAAATTCTTTTTATGACACAAAAAATTCTTTTCATGACGCAAAAAATGCTTTTCATGACGCAAAAAATTCTTTTCATGACGCAAAAAATTCTTTTCATGACGCAAAAATTCTTTTTATGACGCAAAAAATTATTTTCATGACGCAAAAATTCTTTTCATGACGCAAAAAATTCTTTTTATGACGCAAAAATTCTTTTTATGACGCAAAAATTATTTTTATGACGCAAAAAATTCTTTTAATGACGCAAAAAATTCTTTTCATGACGCAAAAAATTCTTTTCATGACGCAAAAAATTCTTTTTATGACGCAAAAAATTCTTTTTTTGATGATTTTTCGTAGGATTCGAACTTAGAAGATTTAATCAAACCTTTTACATGGTAATTTGCTAGTAATTTGCTATTAAATTGCAAGTGTAATTTACTAATAGTAAGTTGTTTTAATAATAACTAGTAAATTGCAAGTAGTATAATAGAAAGACTAGCAATTTGCTACTTAGTCTCGCTAGGGAGTTAATGGTTATTTTAATCAATGGCCATTAAACGGATTTTCAACTCATTTTCCGCTATGTTTATCTACAAAGCAACTCGATAATCAATAGCTTTAAACTTTTCAATATTCATTAAAATCCTCTTGATTGTATCTTAATGAGAATTTTTCGATCCTTTTTGTTATTAAGCAAACAAGACAAAGAGGAAAGATGGAAAAAGGTCAATAAAATAAGTCGAAGTCTTTTACTTTTACGCAAAAATAAAAGCTTAAGTGCAATTTTTGTGAAATATTAGTAAGAAGCTCATGAGATTATATCAATCAGTTTGTTGTCAAAAGCAAAAATCAATTTGGAACTATTGAAATAAGCGATTCCATGTAATTTTCTACATGTTAGTACAAGGGAACAGTTAGAAGAGTGTAACGTATATGCAGAAATTAGCCATAAAGTCGTATGAGCCCCGATAGCTCAATGGTTAAAGCTTACGACCAGAAATCGCAGGACATATGTTCGAGTCCCACTCGGTATCCGTTATTCAAAGCTATTCACTTTTTTTGTGGTTTTGTCATTTAGAAGTTTGCTTTTTCCTACTAGACGATTAAATAGGAACCTTCAATAGGAACCTAACAGTTTCTGTGACTCATTCTTTCCAATCACTACTAGACAAAACAATAGAAAAATCAAGATCCTTAAATTTTATACAATTTAATCTTTATTAATACAAATTTAATCATCATATTCACAAACAACCCAGTGTCGTGTATCGCATGGATATCCCATAGACTTGTAAAGTCCATTTTTTCCAGCATAAGTAAGACAATTTCCACTCTTTTCTCCATTTGCTATCCAGTCGAGTCCATCAAAGAGAGTTCCTTTAGGTTTTCGATTTTGATTGTAGACCATCCATTGATGAGAGTCTTCATCTCTCATTCCATTAATCCATACAGCACCATTTGGATAAGGAGACAAAAATTGAGTTGTTGACTGATGGAAAACTAGTTCAAGTTCAGCACTATCAATAATGAATAGGTTCATTCCATGTCTTGCACATCTTTGTCTTGCTTCATCATAAGTGTCGCCAGTTTCAATGATGCACATTGACTTGATATATTGTCCATCAACATATAATGCTTTTTTGTTACGGCAATGAGACACATCAAGATCCGTTGGATATTCTGTCCTTTTGTGATGTTCACAGACACCCCAATGTCGATCATTACATGAAGCAGGTAAAGCTTGGTATGGTCCATGAATTGATGAGAACTTAAGACAATCTCCACTTGTATATTTATTAGCCCAACTGATATCTTCAAAAAGTGGACCTGCAATAGTCTGATCCAAATTAAAAACATTCCATTGATCATCACTTCTTTTTCCATTTATCCACACGACACCACCACGATAGGCTCTTAGTAAATAAGTTGTTGCATCAAAGAAATGTGTTTCCACAATTGCATCATCAATTATGAATGCATTCATGTTATTGTCAGCACAGATTTTTCTCAATTCTTCATATGTATATAATCCACGTATTATGCACAATGATTTTAAGTATTTTATTCCATCAAAGAGATCTTTTCTCATGTAACAAATTTCAGTATGAGGTCGAACTGTTTGCTCAACATTATAATAAGATATTAAATCTTTTGGACACAATCCATATTCCAAATCATCTTCAGCTAATGAAGGATTTAATGTAAAAACTATTAAACTTGAAATTAAAATCACAATTTTCATTTTTTTGTGCTCGATTTTGCACAGCTATATTTGATAAGAACTTGACAAATGAAGGAAATAAACTGAATTTTTGGTTACATTTTTTGCCAAATTTATATCGATTTTTTTTATCAGCAGTAAATACTTCAATTTGTACTTTATTTTGCACATAAGTATTAAATTAAAGGAATAGTCAATACAAGGGGAAGGCAACATGATGGGAAAATATTTGATTTGAAACTTCAAACCTATGAAATTTTTACCCATCATGTTATTTTCCCCCAAGCGGGAATCGAACCTCGCACCTCTTGATTGCATGTCAAGTTTTCAGAATACAAAGCTATTGGGCTATGCCATTGGAACTGGCAATTTGCCAATATTTGAAACCACCATTTTTTAACTTTCTGCTCTAGAGCTCATAGCCTTAGTGTCTCATCTATGGTTTGAGCACTTGACCGGCAATCGAGAGGTGCAAGGTTTGATTCCCGCTTGGGATGATTTAAGGAATGTAGCAACCAACTTGAACACCACAAGTCGGTAAATTGAATAGAAATCTGGGAACCAAACTGGCGTGACTCTGGCATGGTGCTGGACTCAAGTTAAGACTCAAATTAAGACCAGCACTTTGACAGAGTCACGCCAGCTTCTGATTGAATTTCAATTGCTAGTTTGGTGCTGGATTTCTATTTGATTAACGAACTTATGCTGTTCAGACAAGCAACATCTTACAAAGGCTTACATCAGCTTAAAATTGAAATTTTTGGACATTATCATTAAGTTCATAATTGTTTTTACTTTTTTTGTGTACTGATAAAATAAAATGTTTGTTACAAATTGTTCACATTTCCGCAATGCTAGCACATTACAAATAAAATGATAAAAGAAACAGGAACAAAGTGTTTAACAGGGGCGTCAATTAAAAAATTGAGAAAATTGCTCTTATGCTAGGAGTCTCGACCCACTAAATTTGATCGATCAGTTCTGCTCATTTGGACCATTTTGCACCCCTGTTGTGGCTCTAGTGATGGTTTTTCTGGGGAAATTTCATTTTTCTTTTATATTTTCGACTGTTTTTAATTGAATATCAGTGCTTCACTGGCTCTTATTGTGTTGTTAGAGTTGAGGAGCTTTTAAGATACTGTCCGATTATCAAACCACATCTCTTCACACTCCTATGCTATCTATCCATATTATTCATAACAAAAAAATTCTTGAATATAAAATAAGTTCACTCGACAGACATCCAATCTCAATTTTTTCTGGTATTTTCCAGAGATCGAAGCCGATTTTTTCGGCTTAACTCAATTTTTGATTTTTTTTGATAGAAAAAAGCCATTTGACACCCATTTTAAGTATTTAAATTGAACTTTACATGCTTTACTATGATTCTGTGTAATATTTTGTCAGCATGTAGCTATAGTGAGCTCAGAATTTCAAATTAGCCAATGTTAAGCCGAAATTTAAGCCGATCGGCTTAAAATCGGCTAACTTGAAATTCTGAGCTTACTATAGCTCCATGCTGACAAAATATTACACAAAATCATAGTAAAACATGTAAAGTTCAATTTAAATACTTAAAATGGGTGTCAAATGGCTTTTTTTTATCAAAAAAATCAAAAATTGAGTTAAGCCGAAAAAATCGGCTTCGATCTCTGGTATTTGCTCATCCATAAACCACAACATTCATCACCATCGAATAAGGCATCCAAAGCATCCCCTCATTTCAATATTGAAATTTCTTTCCATGCTTTTGCTGCTTATTTTGAGCTACTTATATAGACCTCATTTACTTTGATATCTTCACATCATTTATTCAATCAGAAAGTGAACGATGTGCCAGACATTGCATGTATATAGGAAGAAAAAAAATTCTTACGAGTAGAAAAAAAAAAGATGGAAGAAGATGAGAGAAAATCTTGAGCATCGTTATCGCCGTAATCTCAAGTTGGATATAATGTCGTTAGGAAGGAAAGTCTTAGTCAGACGATGTCATAATTTAAGTCTTGTACATGCAATAAATGCGAATTGTTATGCGAATAAACGGAAAATAATTTCTAGGCTCTTGTCATAATGTTCTATGTCGTTTGATACGTGAGAATGGAAATACGATGAAAAATTATTTTTCCTAGCCTCTTAGCTTTATTTTTATTGACCTAAAAAAAAGGCTTTAGGAAGAGCGAAATGTGCGATTTTGTCGACAAAAACACCTGACATTTAATAGGCATTATCGATTTTTTTTTTTTGGAAGGGGTGAGATTTGTGATGATTATGATGGGAGATTAAGGTGTTGGGCGGATCAGTTGAGGAAATGATTGGATAAAGGAGGATTAATTTGGAGTTGAATATTGTTCTTAAGATTTTTGGATTTCAATGACTGTAGGCTTACCAACTTTCTAGGTTAGAGCGAACGTGGAGTCATTGACGGTCGTAGAGGACATCTGAAGACTGCTTTATCGCTTGATACCCTGGATTTTTGAAGAGGATGACGGCGTTTTTGAGCTACTGAGTTTGAGCTTCCTCCGAAAGAGTCCTTCCAGGGAGAAATACAGTAGCGTCCAAAAGTTTAGAAACAGTGTCAATTTTTTTGAATTTTATCAAATAAACATACTTAAACATAAGCAAATGAGCTCAAATTTTCACCAACTGTGTAGTTTTTGCTATATTTTAATTCAATAAAAACATTTTGTACTATAATTAAGTATTTCAAAAATAACCGTTAAAATTCAAAATGGCTGTCGTCCAAAAGTTTGGAAACGATTTTATGATAATTTTTTTTAAAGCTTTATACTAAATTTAGGTATGATTTATGGCTCAAAACATAAAATTTGGACTTTATTCTTTGTTTTAACACAAAAAAGTATGCTCAAATCGGTTCCTTTCATGCTATATTTTTGATTTCAAAATGGCTGACATTTTTTTATGATATTAACCAAAATTAATACTTTAAGCAAACTTTTTTCTTAAGTTTAAATGCTTATTACATAGTTTTTAGCGCATTTTTGTATACTTGTATACAAAAAGGTAGCTTAATCATGCACTATGTTCGGCTGGTCGGCTGGTCGGCCGCTAAGAAAAACTTTTAATCTAGACATCGTAGAGAGTTCTAGTTTTTTGCATTAGTTCCGTTATATCGAGTTATTGGCCTGCCGGACATTTAAAAATCTTAAATCAGTGTTTTTATGCTATAATTAATGAATTTTCTAAAAAAATTAGAATTCTACACTTCGAACTTCTACACTATCCGAACATTTGATGGGAACTTCTACACTGTCAGACTAATAATTTGAATTTCAAAAAACCGTTAAATTACCAAGCCTTTTTATATGAAATTTTTTTTTGCAACAGACTGTTATTTATACTATAATTAATGCTTTTACTGCAATTTTTGGCAACATACTTTCAAATGCATACGACCTTTACAAAATTTGAACTTCAGAAAACCGTTAAATGATAAACAATTTATATAAGAGAATGAAAGATATTAAATTGATAAATATACTTTAATTAATGATTTTTTGTATATCTTTTAGCGGGAGCTTTCAAAAACTTTCTGACCGTTACAAAATTTGAATCTCAAAAAATCGTTAAATGATAAACAATTTATATATGAGAATGAAAGATATTAAATTGATAAATATACTTTAATTAATGATTTTTTGTATATCTTTTAGCGGGAGCTTTCAAAAACTTTCTGACCGTTACAAAATTTGAATCTCAAAAAATCGTTGAATGATAAACAATTTATATAGGAGAATGAAAGATATTAAATTGATAAATATACTTTAATTAATGATTTTTTGTATATCTTTTAGCGGGAGCTTTCAAAAACTTTCTGACCGTTACAAAATTTGAATCTCAAAAAATCGTTAAATGATAAACAATTTATATATGAGAATGAAAGATATTAAATTGATAAATATACTTTAATTAATGATTTTTTGTATATCTTTTAGCGGGAGCTTTCAAAAACTTTCTGACCGTTACAAAATTTGAATCTCAAAAAATCGTTGAATGATAAACAATTTATATAGGAGAATGAAAGATATTAAATTGATAAATATACTTTAATTAATGATTTTTTGTATATCTTTTAGCGGGAGCTTTCAAAAACTTTCTGACCGTTACAAAATTTGAATCTCAAAAAATCGTTAAATGATAAACAATTTATATATGAGAATGAAAGATATTAAATTGATAAATATACTTTAATTAATGATTTTTTGTATATCTTTTAGCGGGAGCTTTCAAAAACTTTCTGACCGTTACAAAATTTGAATCTCAAAAAATCGTTGAATGATAAACAATTTATATATGAGAATGAAAGATATTAAATTGTTAAATTTACTATAATTAATGATTTTTTGTGTATCTTTTGGCGGGAAGCTTTCAGAAACTTACTGACCGTTAGAAAATTTGAATCTCAAATAATAAGTAATGTTTTCGTAGTGCAACTTTTAGCGGGAAAATTTCAAATTGTTTATTTACCGTTAAATAATAAAGCCTTTATATATAAGCATTCATTATAAATATTTGCTAATTGATGATCTTCTAATGATCTGTAAATGAACGCAAAATAAATAGATAATCATATACTGATCGCTAACACAAAAATGCGCTTAAGTCCCTCGATCAATAACACGAGGACTTCTGTAATTTTTTACAATATCTTTCAGAAAATATATAGTTTATTATGTTTTGTTAAGTTTAGAAGTCGAAATTTAAAAAAAAATCTTTTTTGGAGAGAAAAATTCGCTGCTTAGAAAAGTTCGAGATAATTTAATTCATTAAATACCAACAAACTATTCGTTATTTTGGTACCAATTTATTGCATTTCAATTCTCCTTTAAGTTTTTGTATGATTTCCTTAACATACTTCAAGGATCAAACTTTTATTTAACTATTCTTTAACCTACAACAGACAACCTTGAACGAAGCAAAATGTTTTTGCAAAAAATTTCTTATTTCTATAATTAATTGAACATGTTTTGTTTAATTCATCAATAGAATGTTATTTTAATACATTTTAGTCATTTTGCAACAAAATTCATAGTAAATTTCAACATTTTTTTGCAAAAACATTTTGCGTCGTTCAAGGTTGTCTGTTGTAGGTTAAAGAATAGTTAAATAAAAGTTTGATCCTTGAAGTATGTTAAGGAAATCATACAAAAACTTAAAGGAGAATTGAAATGCAATAAATTGGTACCAAAATATCGAATAGTTTGTTGGTATTTAATGAATTAAATTATCTCGAACTTTTCTAAGCAGCGAATTTTTCTCTCCAAAAAAGATTTTTTTTTAAATTTCGACTTCTAAACTTAACAAAACATGATAAACTATATATTTTCTGAAAGATATTGTAAAAAACTATGTAATAACATTTAAACTTAAGAAAAAAGTTTGCTTAAAGTATTAATTTTGGTTAATATCATAAAAAAATGTCAGCCATTTTGAAATCAAAAATATAGCATGAAAGGAACCGATTTGAGCATACTTTTTTGTGTTAAAACAAAGAATAAAGTCCAAATTTTATGTTTTGAGCCATAAATCATACCTAAATTTAGTATAAAGCTTTAAAAAAAATTATCATAAAATCGTTTCCAAACTTTTGGACGACAGCCATTTTGAATTTTAACGGTTATTTTTGAAATACTTAATTATAGTACAAAATGTTTTTATTGAATTAAAATATAGCAAAAACTACACAGTTGGTGAAAATTTGAGCTCATTTGCTTATGTTTAAGTATGTTTATTTGATAAAATTCAAAAAAATTGACACTGTTTCTAAACTTTTGGACGCTACTGTAGTATTGTCTCCATGGAACTGTTGCATTGCC